CATTCTGTAAACATTATTACATTTTATGTAGTAGTGAAAAATGCAGTGTGCACTTTCATATTTACGAAGACATACTGTTTATGCTACACAAATTGTGATCATTACGTACAAATTCTGCGGTTTCAAGAGTAGTACAAAAACTTATTTCAGAAAACAGGGTAACTGCTGATGCAGACCTAATTTTGAAATATTTAAAATGCTGAAAAACCACAAGTTGTTTTAAACCTGGCAATAAAACAGAACTTATAATAAATATTAGATACTATCTTTCATTATAATCTTTTCAGATATTATAAATGGTTAAACATGGGACTAGAACATCATATCTAAAAATTATTAACCATAGTTTAAAGATAGTCCCGCGCCGTAGCTGCGCGGTCTGAGGCATCATGCTTCGGACCAGCGATACGGAATGCGCGCTGGTTCGATTCTCGGGGGAGAAGAAATTTTCTCATGAGCTTTCGACCAGTGTATGGGACCAGTGCCAACCCAGCATCGTGAGGAAATTGGGGAGCTACAATGAGTAGCATAATCCGGTCATGAAAGCTAGCAATGGCTGGGGGTTCGTCGTGCTGACCGCATGTCACCCTGTATCTGGTTGGATGATCGTTCACCTCTGCTTAGGCATGTGAACGTGAGGCCAGCAGTCAAGCTAGTCGGCTTTGGCTCTCTGGAGCTGTTATGCCACAGATTTAATTTAATTTTTAATAGTTTAAAGATGATGATTAATTGAATTATCAATTTATTCTGATTTTTAAAATTATGTAAATCTAATATGCAACAAATATTTAAGAAATTATTCTTTCTTACTCCAATGACAACATGTCACAATATGTCTGTATGATTTAATGACTAAACTCTAATTATAAATTCAAACTTTAAATCTCAGTGTTTTCTAGTGGCAAAATGTGCAATCAAAAATTAAAACTTACGACATGCACTAAATAAAACAAGAATATGTTTTCCATGACAAACTATTACATCTACTGCAATGTGGGATGACAGCATGATATACTCTGAGCAGTGAAACTACAATAATACAGAAGCAAACAACTTCTGGTAGTGCACTGGACTGCAAAAAATATGTACAAGCAAGTCCCAAATCATATTCACAGACAAATATATATTTACAGGTTTTATAACTTATAATATTGTGGTATACAGAACTTGCACATTTATGAATAATTCTGTAAATTAAAATCAAATCAACTTTACGCTTCCAAAGTAAATTTTTTTATCATACTACACAAAGGTAAGAGCCGTTCCTTCCCTGCACTTAATGAAGAACCACAATGTGAACATGCATAAGGGAGTGGTCGGTACAGTTATACACATTCCAACTTCAGCACTAGAGCAAATGAGAGGTAAACTTCCTGCTTTATAGACAGGGAAAATCTCTGCCCTTGTTGAGGACCAAATCATGGTCTCCAGTCCACAACCCAGTCACTACACTCACTGTGCTGCCCCAGTTTCTTATCATTCACGTTTGTGTGACTGATTTTAATTTTTCTTTACATGCAACAGTACTTATTGCTGAAACTCTATTTTGAAGAACTAGCACATTTGGTTGACTACCACTGACAATTACATAGGTACTGATCACGTGGCACCACACACAGAACTTTAATGCTATCTGGTATATTTTATTTTCCTTAACATTTGGTACATTAGTATTATTACGTTGTCTTTCAGATTCCATTTTGCAATAAATAGCAGCAAAATTTAAGACATATTTCATTTCAATTCCTGC